CCCCCCAGGGCCTGTCCCCGTCCCGCGAGCCTGAGCCGGATTTCTACTGCGTGAAGTGGATCACGTGGAAGGGCGAGCGGACTCCCGTGATCACGCAGAGCGAGAACGGGCCCTGCCCGCTCCTGGCCATCATGAACATCCTCCTCTTGCAGTGGAAGGTGAGCGGCGCAGGGTGCTGGGCACGTTCTGTCCCCTGTAACCCCCAGCAGGACTGTCCATGTCCTCATGGCTGTCCTGGGACACAGCTCGGGATGCTCAGGTGGAACCAGGCCAGCCGTTTGGCTGGGCTAACGGTCCCCATCTCTTGTGCTGCCAGGTGAAGCTGCCCCCGCAGAAGGAGGTGGTCACGTCGGATGAGCTGATGGCGCATTTGGGTGAGCTGGGGCCGCGCGGTGCCACCTGCCCCACGTCCCTGCGCGCTCCGGGTAACGGGGCCCCACGGGGCAGGGTCTCCAATGCGCTGCCCTGCTTGCAGGTCTGTCCCTTCTTTCTCAGCCATGGGGATCTCTGCCCTTCCTCCCCTGCTCTCCAGCCCCAAACCTCCCGCTCCTGGTACTTAGCCTGCAAAGACACGTTCCCGTCCTGCGTGTGAGGAGGAGGACTTGGAGCCGGGCTCCAAGATGGACCAGATCCCTTGTGTGGCAGCGGTGGGATGGCCAGAGCAGGGGGAGGGCAGATGCTGGGGTGTGGAGGCAGCAGGTTTGGATCCCGGGCACCCTCCTGTGCCTCCGTTTCCCTGCTCCCTGGGGGAGAGAGCTCAGCTGGGGCTGGGGAGGAGGCAGAGAGGTCGGGAAGGTGCCAGCACTCATTGCCACGTTCGCTCTGTTGAAGGGGACTGCATCTTGTCCATCAGACCCCAGGAGCAATCGGAAGGGCTGCAGCTGAACTTCCAGCAGGTGAGGAACAGCGGGAATAGCGGCAGGCCGACAGACCTGCTTGTCTGCTGCTTTGGGGGACAGAGTGCCACAAGTTGCCAAAAAACGGTCCACCTCAAACGTGCCCTTTGTGCCCAGCACTGCCCTGTGCAGGAGAGCTGCAGAACCAGGGAATGAGGGGCTGGGACACAAGTCTGGGGTTCCTGGTCCCCAAGCAGGCCCTGCTGCTGTCCCCTGCAGAACGTCAACGACACCATGATGGTGCTGCCCAAGCTGGCGACGGGGCTGGACGTCAACGTGCGCTTCACGGGCGTCTCGGACTTCGAGTACACGCCCGAGTGCATCGTGTTCGACCTGCTCAACGTGCCGCTCTACCACGGCTGGCTGGTGGACCCGCAGGGGGGCCGCCCCCCGGG